GATTTTGCAGTCTTAGACTCTCTCGGTTGTCATTACGGACTTTACTCGGTTATCTTGAAGTCGTTAGCTTCTTAGAAGAAGTCTTTACTTTACTTGAAAGTCATTTGAAGTCGTTATCTTCCTAGAAGAAATCTTTACTTTACTTGACGGAGTAAGTCTTTAACGTCGTCAGCTTCTTAGAAGAAGTCTTTACTTTACTAAGATGTAGAAGTCTTTAGTTGACCTTCTTAGGAGTCTTTTGTGTTGTGATCCTTACAAGTCTTTAGTTGACCTTCTTCTTAGAAGTCTTCAGTGTTCTGCCGTACTTAGAAGTCTTTAGATGACTTTCTTCTGTAAGTGCAGGGACTATGCAGGAGTCTGTTCCTTCTTGGCCTTAGGGATTCTGCTTGAATCTGCTCCGGGCCAACAAGGGGCCMTTTTGCATGACCATGAGCGAGCAGCTGTATTGTCGCATTGTTACTTGCAATTCAGTCGGACAACGATGTTCGGTCGAGCAACGCTTGATTATAAAAGATTTGCCATGCCCCGTATAGTAGGAAGATTTACGAAAACATCTTTTCTCTATACTGCTTGTAATTTTAAAGATTTCACTAGATTGAACGCACGCTTTTAAAAATTACATCTTCCCTATACTCCGCCATTTTATTTTTATTAGCATATGTGCATTCTGTGCATATATAATTAGCTCCGGGAATTTCAGAGCTCTTTCCTGATTGGTGGAACACAAAAACTCGCTCGAGTGCGCAGACGTTCCTGCGGGAGAGAATCGAACCGCTAAGAACGTCTGCTACGGAGGCTAGCTAAAAGATCTAGTTTGTAACAATCAAACGTCTAGGGGTGTACGCGCGTATTTGTGGCGCTTGATAAAAACATAAAGTATAATAAGCAGGGACTGAGGAGCAGTCGAGTTCAATTTTTTAAGAAATTCAAATTTGATTGATCAGAAGCAAAGAAACAAAGGACATCAAATCAATTGAAATAAATATGGTACTGTCAAGACCTCGGGCAGTGTTTTCCTATACGGACCTCTCAGCCGCTAAATAACATATATTTATATTGTAGTAAAGTTATTGCGTATGGGCACAAGATCGATACTGACCGAGCGCAGCATATATATTATTTTCTATTCACAAAAACTAACGAAATATAGCTGAGCAAAGTGAAACAAGTGGTGGATAAGTCTTGAAGAAATGGCGTGGCTGACTGATTTTTAACCGCTAAGAAATTGCACAACAAATATTGTTAAATTAAATACAAARTCTCCAAAGAAAGATCTTTTGAACGGTGTAGGGTTTTCTTTGCGCAAAATGTTTGTACGCCTCGCTACGTAACGCCAAAGTTGCTTAAAATTGCATTATACGATCATTAAGGCTTAAATTCTATTCTCATGTTTTCGAGTCGATTTTAGTASGTAGAAAAGTCTCTTAAAGTAGATGTAGATATCGCCAGGAATGCAAGTTCTGTTTTGTTTGTTTCAGATTTAAAATTTGCATTTTGTGTTAGCCTTGTCAACGCAGGAGCGCAATTCAAATTGTCTTTTCCGTTTTATATTTCAAATTCATTTGTGCCATTAGCAAGCTGTATTGGAATTTTGCAATAAACCGATGGTATTTAATAATTGAAATATAAACAAAATTCTTACTAAATAAAAGATGCGATTTAGTGACCATTTAGTTGATATCACTCAACTAGAACAACTGAAAACAGTACAATATTACTTTGAGCATTACAAACAATATGCATTAATTTTGTTTATTTTTTTCGGTCCGGTATCCTAGTCATTCGCGCGCTGTGATTGGCTAGCGCGCGTTCCGGTTTTTCACGATCTGCCCGTTCCGACGGTGTCCTGCAGCTAGGCTGCGAGTAAAGTTGCATAAAATACAACTTGACAAAACGAGCTCACAAAGTGGGACCAAAATTTGCCCTGAAATCTACAATTTTCGGTGTCCTCAACTAATTTGCATATATCTCCCCCAAAACACGATATTCAGCCAAACTAACTACACAGCGTTTATAGGGACACTCTACCCTATCATTAGTATAAGTATGAGCGAAATCGATTTTTCAAGGTTTGCCACCTTCTGTTTGAT